TAGCCTTTTTCTCTAAGGAATGCTCACATATGCAGTATTGGTTTGTTTACAATCTTTTGCTGCCAGCTGCTCTAACAATTTCAGTCGAAAGAATTGTCAAAAACTGTTTTGAAACGCTTTTACAAAGCTCCAATCTTCTCTAGTGAGAGCGAGTATTGTCGGCAACCAGTTTTTCTTCGGCAACCGTTCCATTTGAACTGCATGTAAATCTGCTGTTCTATTATCGGCAACTCGAAATCAGCTACAATTTGTAGTGCGTGTGTTTCATTTCAAGAAAACCTTGCTAGATTGCTTTTTCTCAGTGGTAAAAATATAGTCAAATTGAAGCTGAAAGCATAAAGAATCGTTTGCATGCATTCAGAGAAGTGTTTTCGTAAGAAAATCCAGTGAAAATAGTGTTTCAATTTGGGTTGCCGAAAATAGTCTGGCATGCCGAAGCCGTCATTTCCCCTATATCATCTGAAAGAGCTTCGTTTCATGAGCACAGCGATATTTTTTTTCGAACCACACTCTTTCATCTCGAGTTTTAAATCAAGATTTAAAGCAAAACAATAAACTTCACTGTTTGACACTAAACTGCCAAACTGAGGTGCTTTTGCAAATGTAATCGTACTTATTTAAAATAGTTCCAGTGTACCAATGCAGATTACGAACCAAATTTGGTGCTGGAATTCGGCCATTTGGACTCTCGCCTAATTGTTCAATTCGATATTTTTCAATAAGTCATAGCACGGAAACTGAATTTCCTTTTCAGAAAAAAAAGCTGTTGAAATCTTTAATATAACAACAACAAAAAAGTATATTAAAAAACTTATGTGGCCACCCCTTCGGGAAAGGCGGGAAAAAGTCAAGAATCAAAAATCACCGTTAGAAATGTGGGATACAGTCGGGAATTCTATTGTGCAATCGGGAATTCAAATGTCTTTATTTGTATGAATGTAGTGTTTACAGTCAAACGCCCTAATTTAAAAGCAAATTTAAATAATGATAGTTAAATAGTATTCCCCGTATTATCAAACATGACTTTTCATGACCATAACATAAATATAAAATAAACTGAAAATGTTAACAATAGAGAATCAAACATAAACTACACCCAACCGAGGAGTTTAGGATTTTCATACAGTTTTGTATGAAAAATGAACGAATTCTGCAAAGATTCATGACATGACCAGATTTTTTTTTTATTATTATTATTATTATAGTCACTTTAACACTCTTGGGTCTTTTGTGACTTACATGACCAGATACTGTAATATTATAGGAAGACTTCAAATGATTTTACTTACCTTAGCTAATTTTTTTTAAAGAGAAACATTCCCGCCAATACATCAAACCAAGACAATGATCTTGCGATGGTTATGTACGATAAACTTGACCCGGATAAAAGCTATTTGTCCACGACAGGCTGTTTTAAACCTACCATTATAGCACAGATAAACAGACATAAATCATTGAATATTTTTCACTGTAAAACATCGTCGTTAAAACATTACCACAATCTGTTGAGTACACTGTGGTGGGCATTACACTGAACAGATGGCGGTAGTGTGTAAACGTCAAACGCAAGGGAATTGACTATGTGCGCCACAGGTGGCGGTACTATAAACTACGATACGTTTAAATTGGCCGTTAAATGCTTTTTCGATGAACAACTTGTGAGAGCTATGTCTGTTTGTCTGTGATTATAGTTTTAATGAAAACATTTATAGAAGCATTCGGATGGGAAGTAAAGCCGTTGGTCCCCGGTTCATGAGTTGATGGGTCGATAGGTAGGGTCCAGGTGTGGGAGCTGCCTTCCTGGCACGTCGATAGCATTGGTGCTCAGCACGGAAAACAAGATCGACGGAAAAAAAAACAAACCAAAGGAAAAAAAAATATAGAAGCATCCATAGCCTTGAACGTCAGAGTAATTGTTTATTTGTTTTTATTCTGTGTTTATTGCATTGGTCATTAGGCCCAATTGAGAAAAGTGTGAGATTGATCTCAGACATTGTTTTAGAAACCTTGAATAAAAAAAATAGGTCCAGTGAACAAATTCCGTAACCAAAGAAAAATCAATCATATCTACGAAAGACGCGTCGATGGAATTTTATTTAAATTCCTATTGAATCGAGGCGTCTTTGGAGTTCCATGATATGCGCCTAGGATTATGGACCAACAGAAAATTATTTGGAATAAATTTTCAAGAATCTAAGACAAATAGTCTCAAGATGTCAGTCATGATATGATTCCAGGTTAAGATTTTCAAGTTTCCAGAATTGAAAACTTAGATCAAGGTTGCAGTGGCGTTTTACCTGTTCAACAACTTGATAACGTTATTTAGGGTCATGTTTACATTCAAATCAGTTTCAAAAGGCTCAGGGTCTTCTAGTTTCACAGATTCGTATTCATTGGAACCAATATTGCAGGCATAACATTTGATAACGGCACAAAAGCATTTTTAAACAAACTTTCTAAGGCCCTTTACACGCGAACCAAAGTATGCCCACGCAAACCAACAACATCATCGGATAGGGGTAACTATCACCTTTCCGAAAGTAGTATTGGTTTGCGTGCGCGTACTTTGGTTCGCGTGTAAAGGGCATTAGAAAGTTTGTTTACAAATGCTTTTGTGCCGTTATCAAATGTTATGCCTGATTGTTTCATTTGTTTACGTTTTGAGAGTTGTTGAGCTGGTAGATTGAGGTTAGCCTGACGCCACTGCAAAGATGTATTGTGCCTTGAAGGAATTTTCAGGATTCAGGATCTTGATATTTTCAGTGAATTTGAAATTCTGAGGAGAATTCCTTTCAAATTGTCGGAGATGAACTAGCCATAGACTAAAAATCTCCTTAATGAAGAATTTGAAAAAAAAAACTTTAAAATTGTAATTTCAAAATAATTCTGTCGAGGATTTTTAGAGAATATCGGGGAACAGATTCTGTAATGTGGTCACCGGAAGGTTTTTATAATAACTTTGTAATTTTTATGTTAGCTTATTTTCCAAACAAAGTTTTCCCAAATGCATTGCGTCTAGAAAAACATCTCGTGAAGATTTTATTTAAAAAATTGCATTGAACTACAACTGTCATTACATTTGTTGTATGAAACATATTCAGTGGATGTAATAAATCCAACCTTACATTGGATGCAAGAGAAATTTGTTTTGATTATTACGTAAACCATAATTCAGGCACTGGAGGGCTACCTACATACAACTAATTTCAAACCAAATTCTGTTATTCAAGATTCGTTTTCTTTCAAGTGATCATTGCACAACATTATTCCACTTTATGTATCCAGCCATGCACGAAATCTGCACTCGTACCGCCGAACCGGTTTGCAATTAATTGGCAGTTAAAAACATGTCGCGACGATAGACCCATATTGTCCGTGTGTGGCCTGAATTTGTCGAAGAATTCACATAAAAGGATAAATTGCACTTACTATCCCCACGCGCCACAAAGAACAAAGTCGCAATCGGTCGGGTAGACAAAAATGGGGAACCTGCGTCGCGCACCGTCATCGTCGTCGCCGTCGCCGCCCGGTGAATCATGTTGACCGTGAGTTTTCACAGCATGTCACACAGCGGATGGTCATTTTTTATTCAAACGCGTGGTGGATCACACCAACTCCTGACTGGTGGTATGATGGTAGCCTTTTTCGTGAACAAAGTATCGAAAGAGGGTGTGAGGCCGAAGGAAAAAAGTTAATTTGACTTGACTGTGAGTGTATTCGTGGTAGTAGCAGTGCAGCACTCTTTCGATAGGCCTCGACATGTTGGCTGACATACCAAGGCTTATTGGATCCTAAAATAGGCGCTAAAATTGAAATTTTCCATGCAGAGTGTATTGAACTTGTGGCCGCCTAGTTTAGCAAGTTTTATGATTGAGCTTTATAAACCTGTAGATAAGTGTTGCATTAGTTTTCCGGCTGGTTTTGGAATCCTTCAGCGAATGCGGTAAATGTTGGTTTCGAGGCTTTCGGATACTTTGGATTGAATGTATCTCTACCAAAGCAAAAATACAATCGCGATAAAACGATTTAAATGAAAGCATCTGGTTAAATATAGGAAGAAAACAGAACTCTTTTTTGCAACTTGCCAATTTCATAACAACAGGTTGATTTGCCAGGTAGTTAACACCACATCCACAACTGAAAGCTTTTTCCTATACACACATGAAGAGGTTTAATTATTACAGTGGCTTAGGATCCAATCGATTTAGTTTGAATTACACGCACCTCTTGAGATAAAAAAAGATTAAATCTGGAGGATAATCATTAATTACCAGCATCGAATCCAACCACATTCCAATAACAGATGAACTCGCAACTTCATTCAAACTGTTGTCTTTATAACCGAAATTCACAATTGTCATAATGTGTGGGTTGACGTCGACGGTCAGCGTAAATCTTTTTCCCATGATGTTATGCGCATAACTTCCGCTCAATAAAAAAAAATTCAAGCCGGCATAAAACTGCGATGATTTTCATTCTGGCATTGGCTCTGAGTGACATACGAGGGATAGCTACAACTGCGGCTCAATGAACGGCCACCCTCAGAGCCGACACTCACATGGGAAAATATGCTCACACTCTGCGCCTCCGCTATACCATTTACGAGTGAACGAGTAGACACAATTCAACTAGAATTAAATAGGATTGATAAATTGCATTTGATTTCAGCCAAGTCAAGCCAAGCGGCTGCAGCGGATTACACGAGAGTCGTTCTCGCATTTAGAGTCCCAGATTCGAATAAGAAGCTGTTCTGCTTTGCATATGTGGGTTTGGTCAATGAAAATGCCATCAAATGACCATCGGTTGGTAGTTTTATGGTCACGATAAATCAAGCAAAACGATTGAAGGTCGCCAGCAGCACTGCTATTCCGTCCATAGGAATTGCCAAAGGCCGGGAGAATTTTTCGTTGTTTATTAGTTCGGCATAGTGGTGCCTATAAATGTACGATTGAATTGTGCCAACTTATCTAACGAGCTATTTATTTTGTTTATCTTTTCAGAAGTACCCCAGGAAAATGACTGCATTCTGCCAAATCAACATACATCACCAGTCAACAAACGAAAGGGCTTCAGTGGGTGAGTAGATAGTTGGACTTATTTGAAATCTCTACAAATTGTTAACTGACCTATGTATTTGCTAAAAAATCAATCCAATTGGACCAATTGATAACGAAAAGTTAGGTGTATTTACTCGAAGTAAAATGTTCTTTTGATACTTTTCGGGGATTTGATGCAGGGGTCTTGGCTGACCACTTCACGTATTCCGGTATAGCCTCGTTTTAGCGCTACGTGGATTCACTTGATATCACTTGTAGTAAACTGGGGATGGATGATTTAAACGACGATTGTTGACTAACTGAGTAAAATACTCTAGCGCTGTAACGTATACATACTCGCAATGATGACACATTGCTTGAATCATGATTAGCCAGCTGAATTTATTCCACATGGTGCCGTGCAACGTGTGTTTTGTTTTCAAGTATTAGCTGTATAGAACAATCAAAACCTTTCTATTCGTTAAATGAGATTCGGCTTGTAAAATGACTCACTTAAAGTACAGATCACAGTAAACAAATTATGTTAATCAAAATATCTTTACTTTGCATTAAAATGTTCATGTCAACAGAGTATATCAGGTGCTGTCCAAATACCGGAGGTGTTGGCATATGTCCGTGTTTTTTTTAAATATATGTATGGGTATTATCGACGCAGGTCTAGGGGGTCGTCTCAAACCTTTTAAAAACTATTCACCTGGTATATGGACAGTCCCATCATGGCATGGTTTCAAGCTGGGTGATGCGAAGACGGACAACTATACCAGTATGATGAAACGGATACAAGTATTGCAGTCATTCAATTCTATTTATGACGTAATGTAGCAAAAATTTAAACCTATTTTTTCTAAAACGTCGAAATCGTTTTTCTTAATTCTTTCATATTATTTTTTTCGCTTATTTTGAACAAAAAGGCACTTCGCATCACCCAGGTTTTAACGTCCCATCTGTAAATTCACGTCTCCCCCAGTTACACTTGTGAATTGAGAGCTTTCTAAGCCAGTATCATTTTTATTTTCAGTAGGGTGGCAACTCTACCAGGAAAACGTGGAAAATGGAAAAAGTCTAGATTTTCTTTTCACCAGGAAAAAGCGGGAATAAATCTAGCGTTTAGAATAATAAGGGCCTAACTACGATGATCGATTCTCTTTTTTATTAATAACTCGGGTGGCTTAACATTGCTCGGTGCTCTTGATGTTACTTTTGCTAGCCAATACAACCTGAAACATCACTGTAATGATAAACATTCGTAAAAGTGGTTCACTTATCTGTAGCAATTCAAAGAGATAATCGTTAAGGCCTTTATGATGCTAAACGCTAGAAATTTGAAAAGTGTACCTGGAAAATTGACTATCATCAACCTTTCGTTAAGATATGCTTAAAAAGATTTTAATAAACTGTGAATATTTTTTTTTAAATAAATTTTCATTTAACCAACTGCTTTTTATTTTTTTTTTTTAAATGTACACAATTAAGGGGTTAGAAGGAAAGGGGTGTAAGTTACTTTGATCCATTTTATTCATCGACTTTCTCTTTCGTTAATAATTCAGCTGCAAACACATTCCTTGATTCGTGTGCCATTCTGGATTCTAGGTGAGAACCTCCTTTATCAAACTATGTGTCAGAAATAGCGCAAAATCTGTCTATAAAGCTGTGGCTATCAAAAGAGAAAGTCGATTAAGAGAATCGATCAAAGTCACTTACACCCCTTTCCTTCTTAACCCCTCTACTATCTTTTATCCATACATTCAGATTCCCGCAATGTTTGATATGCCCGTTTTGGTGATTTCATGTTTTTTTGCGGATTAAAGTCAAAAGTCAAAAGTTTGAAGTTTTAAACGTCATTTCGGCTTTCAACATCTTAGATGGTCAACAACTTTTAGTATGAGCTACAGGTCAAATGTATACTTCACACTTCATTTTGTTTGCCGAATCTCGGCAATTTTCGCCGAGATTTGCACAGCCGCCAGTCTGTCAAGATCTCAGCAAAAGTGACGTTTGGTTGCTGAGTTTCGGAAAATGTTTTACTGAATCTCAACAAACTCAGTAAAATGTAATGCCGAGCACTCCCCAACAAAAATTGCCGAGCTTGCAAAAATAAAACTTAGTGTGTAGATTCACATTGTGAAATAATTAAGGGCTAATCTTCCGATTATACGGAAGGAGTTGTCCATCCGAACAACCTCCTAGATGGCTAGGGACTATAACACATAGCTGAAGATTTCACACACTCTTCTCGTGTCGTATGGTAAGATAATTCTGAACTTATGTGTTCGCCATCTTTGCTGTTGGTTATCTTAATAACTTTGCCGATGACAGTGACAAATTTCACGCCATCTCGACTATGGGGTTGGCAGCACTCTCTCAGATTTCAATTTAAACTTTGATGGTTTAAAGATAATGGGGCCTCATAACCTAGTCAGTAAAGGCACGGTATTACCAAGCCGGAGGCGGCGGGTTCGATTCCCGGTCCGGTCGAGGGAATCTTTCGGGTTGGAAATTTTCTCGACTTCTCTGGGCATAGAGTATCATTGTACTAGCCATACAATATTCAAATTCATGCATTGGTATTGGCATCGAAAGCTCTCAATTAATAACTGTGGAAATGCATTTAGAACACTAAGTTGAAAGCACGCAATAAGCTAATATGCTCTAAGCAATAAGCTTGAAAATGTGAAGAAGAAGAAGTGGTTTAAAGATATCTTCTACTTAAGAAACTTTTCATGCTTATTTTATTTAAGTCCACCATTTGAAAAGGAACGAAATTATTTTTCCAACATTTTCTTCAAAAAATTATAACTCAAAATTGATAAGATCTACAAAGGATGATTTGTAGAAAATTGTATGATTTGGCATAAAACAAAATATATTAAAAATATATAGGGGAAATGTCTCTAATGTTGGCCTATGGATCTAACACTGGGCCCATCGCTAAAAATCTGCTATTTATCAATTTTATCTAGATTAACGCGTTATTGGGTCGTTACTAATGGATATTTTTGGTTGTTATTGAAAATTTAGTCGACTGCTGAACTTATGTATAGGTCCAAATAAGGGACACTTAGGCCGACATTGCCTGCATTTCCCCTATATAACGACAGTGAAAAAAAAGGGGAATTTACGGGGGAAATTTACGTATTCTCGTCAATCTAAGAAGCGTCCGCGCTTCTTTTAGTATTTCTTCAGCGTTACGCACACATATCACGTGTTTTTTGTTATCATTTATCTGCGCTTCTCTATTCATTCCAATCGTCAGAATTATCCAAAACAGTTTGAATACGTTCCAAACTTCTCAGGTGAGTTTGACTATTTTCCATTTGAACTGCGTGTTAACCAGCTGTTCTATTATCGGCAACTCGAAATCAAGCGCATTTTGTAGTCCACATATTTGGGAGTGCGCAGTCGTAAAATTGAAATCAGATTGAAACTGCAAGACTAAGGAATCGTGTGAATACATTACGCGAAGTTTTTCGATGGGGAAATGCAGTGAAATTACATTTGCCGAAAACAATCAGTGCCGCTGGTCGAAGCTCATTTTTTTTTTAAATCTGAAATACAAGCTCATACAATTTCCTACAAATCATCCCTTGACAACATTTTTGTAGGACTTATCAATTTTGAGTTATAATTTTTGTAGATAATATTTGAATAAAAGCTCGGCCCTTTTCAAATGGTGGTCAAGATTCTTTTTACATACACAAAGTTTTACTGAAATCTGAGAGGCTTCTGCGAACCATTTGTCGATTTGGCGTGAAATTCGTCAATAGCTTTCTAGATGGCCAGAATCTTAGGATACCTAGTATATACAGGAAATTTGCTTGCAAACTAGCAAATGAGGGAATTATGAACTTCTTTGTTGACCATCAGAAAGAGTTTGGTTGCCTGATCAGCTATGCCGAAGACAAAAACTTCCTAGATGGCCAGGATCGACTGTCGACTACCTGAAAAAATCTGGAAAATCAGGGAATATCGGGGAATTCAAATTTTGGACCTTGAAAATCAGGGAATCTCAGGGAACTTCATTCAAAGTCAGGGAAATATTTCTTTATAGCAGAAACTTATTAATAAGTATGGCTGCCTTCACTAGTTTAATACAACTTAATTACTTGTTGTAGTTTGAGGATAGTTTTTCATTTCAAATATTAAATGGAGTTGCGAACTTGTGGTTGTTCAATGCTTGATCAAAAGTTACTCTAATAAAAGGGTATTTCTATGATTTTGAGCCTATTATAAATTCAGCTCCCACTGGGTGTTGAACTAAACCGAGATAAAAATTTATTTCCGTAAAGACGTTGTTAGTTGTTGCAAAATTTAAGCTGCTTATGAGAATGTACGTCTTTTAATAGATGTTGTACCTAATTACGTCTGACAAAATTTAACCTTCGAGTAGATTAGATCTAGCTGTGTCCAATAAAAATCTGTCTTTTGAGCGCATTGGAGCGCCTTTGAATAGATGCAAGAATGATTAAGAGCTAAGCTGGGCTTAGACAAGGCAAGTCATTGATCAACTAAGTTGAATTCAATTGGCTTGAAAAGTTGAGTCTGGTCCACCTTTTTTTCAATTCAACTCATGATCAAGTCAGGTGAATGGCATGGTTTACACGTTCAATTCACGTTCAAGTCAACTGAGTTGATAATTTAACTTGCCTTATGCAAATCCACGAGATGATGATGATTTTTTTCTGAAATCTTCTAGTTCTTGTTCGTTATTGTGTTCTCAACAATAAGTGAATGGTCTTGCCTTGGAGGATTTTTTTCTGATTGCTTGCAGCAGCACTTTTTTTGTGATTGAATAATGATAATTTAAAAAATAGCTTTTCAGTAATGTGTTAATATTGTATTGTTGCTGCTATTGCAATTCAGATGGAGTTATCTTACAGAATTTTGGACGTGAAAGCGCTGTTTTTACGATTTCCCACCTGAGGAATCCGCCCGCGAATTAGCTTTTATCCGGATTAATTTTTTTGCGAAGCTGGGTCTCAAAATGTGCTCAAAGCAAAACAAATATAATGGGATTGAAAA